CTTGGTAAGTATAGTGCACTTAAACATCCTGTATGCCAGTGATCGGTTTTTGCAACGCTTTCTGGAAAACACTGATAATTATTATATTTATTAATAAACACCTGTAAAAAAAAAAAAGACACCAAACTTTAAGAAACACAAACAGACGAAAAATAAAACAGTCGCACCGACGTCATTGCGCGTGCAAGCGAGGGGGAGTTAGATTCTGGCAGGGAGTCGAAATTCGGCGACTAGTGTGGTGACGTCATTGCGCGTGCACGCGAGGGGGAGTCAGATTCTGGCAGGGAGTCGAAATTCGGCACAACACCGGCTAACGTTACTAACTACACTTTTGAAACACATAGTTAAACGTACATGTGTGAATGATTGTTAGCACTAACAGTTACTAAACTAGCAGCTAGGTGGAGCGCATCTTAACGTTACCTTTGTCCGGATTACTGTGTTCCCACTGTTTGCCGACTCTTTGTTGGAAATTTTATATGGATCCAAATCGTTAAAAGTGCCGGTTTTGTCCACATACCAGTCTCTGGCTTCCCTATTTAACATATTCCGTTAAATTCCACATCCTTTTAGGGATTTTAACATCTTTTTTCTTTTCTTTATCCCAAATCTGCTGCTTCTCCTCGTTCGACTTGCTGTATGTTTACATGCGCAAAGCTGTCAACATGGCTGCCACGCCAGTAATGACGTCACGACGCCCAAGCCCTATTGTATCGGAAAGCAATAATGCTTCGAAACGCTTCATTTGGCCATCACTAAAGATTGACCCGCGTTCTGTTTTCTATCATGCGCCGTGCACGTTTGCGATGACGTAATATGCACGCAAACGCACTAGGGTTCGATAGAATCAAGTTGAGTGTGAAACCAGACCAACGCTGCGGGGGGCGCCGGGAACAAACGCGCTCGGGCTCGGACCGCAGCAAACGAGCCCAGTGTAAAAGCCCCCTTATTCATGAACTTGAACTTGACGCCCGTTTCATGACGGAAGAAAGGACTATATATTGTTTGCATTCCTTGGTGAGCGCAGCGAGGTATGATATGTTTTCATTATAAATAATTCGTAATGTTGTTTGCTCATATTTTATTTTGCTGTGTAATTTATGTGTCACCCTAAATGTTTGCTTATGTAATGACGTTTGTAGCCGTGAAACAATTAAGTGTGTGAAATGTTTGTTGTATGTATGTTGTATGTATGTTTTCAATACAGTTTTCAATACAGAGAGAGAGAGAGAGAGAGAGAGAGAATAGGATAGAAAGTGTTAGTATTAATTGATCAAGTGTTGATTTTATGCCAGTATATCACAAAACGCTCAGCATGAAACTTTGCGCGTAAAGTTTATTATCTGAGTCCATCTTCTTGCCTGTAGCCTATATAGTAGCCTACAGCCTACATCCCCAATAAGGTGCAAGATTGGTCTTTCATATCACTGTATGTGACTGTTAAGCGTTTTGTTCCAACGGAAAGGAAATCCTTGAGTATATGAGGTATTGAGGGAAACCGATTATAATCCTGTTCATGGTAGAGAAAGCTGATGACATGTAGAATACACAGGGAAAGTAACAATGAAGTTATTGAATAAAACATAAACACAGCTTTTGTGTGTTTATCATCCTTTCCGCATATACTGTCACAGATAATCATTTCCATTTTATGAACGTCTTCGTCAACAACAAGCGCTTTTGCACCATCTGATGGTGAGGTCGACTAACAGCAGATGGAGAGTATGCTCGGCAATCTACTGCTTTTCCTGCAGTTCCTGGACGTCAATGTTGAATTTACTGTCGAATTTGAGCCACTGAATTTGTGGAAGCGAATTTGCAAAGCGAAATAAAATGGACCAAAAATTGCCTGTTGAATATTATTGGTTGTATTTTTAAACAGTTTGAATATTTTGGAAATTAAATATGAATGATGATGGATTATTGAATTTTTAATAATGAAAATGTGTTTGAAATGTTTTTAATTGAAATATTCACAGCTTAAATATTCAACCATGCTAAATTTCAGCCCATAAAAATGCAAGCCCTAAAAATACAATGCATTAAAATACAAGCAGGATTAATGCAATGCCTATTTTTTTTCAAGTAGTGCAATTCAACAGGCTTTTTATTTCAAAAACATTTGACATTATTTTACTTCCATAGTTCTGTCAGGCACTTTATATATATATAATCTTTTAGGGGTTCCCATAAAGGGATCACTTTATGGATTTATTTTTAATTCATAATTTTAATGCATTAACTAACAATGGACTAATAATGAGCAATATATATATATATATTTGCAGCATTTAATAACTAATGTTATTGTCACAGTTGTGTTCCGTTTAGTTTGTTTTCATTGGACTTGTCTACCTGTCGTCATGTCACGTAGCATCATCATTATTGGTTCATCTGTCTCACCTGTCACCTCGTTAGTCTTGTCCGCTGTGTTTCATTTCCCTGATCTGTTTCCCCATGTATTTAAGGCCTGTGTTTTGCCTTGTTTACGGTCCGTTCTACTGTGTGTGTGTGTGTGTGTGTGTGTGTGTGTGTGTGTGTGTGTGTGTGTGTGTGTGTGTGTGTGTGTGTGTGTGTGTGTGTGTGTGTGTGTGTGTGTGTGTGTGTGTGTGTGTGTGTGTGTGTGTGTGTGTGTGTGTGTGTGTGTGTGTGTGTGTGTGTGTGTGTTATACCTGCTGCCCGTCATCCCTGTACCTGTGTGAGTGATATTAGTAAATGTTTATATTGGTGCTTTTTGCCTGTTCGCCTTTCTTCTACCTACACCACACCGTGACAGAAGAACGAACCCCAACAACGGAACAATATGGGTATTCTTATCACCCCTTCCAACTCCACCAACCGTCTTCTGACCTGTTTCCAGGACGGCCGTCAAATCGATGAATATGTCGCCAAGTTCCTGGAGCTCTCTGAATGGGTAAGCTGGGCTGATGACGTCCAAAAAACTGTCTTTTGGTGTGGGTTGGACGATCATCTATACCAGCAAGCTCCAGCAGCAGTGATCCTAGGTACGCTCGCCCGGTACCTGGATCATGTGCTGTGGTTGAGTGGATAACATCGCCACTCAACCACCTACACCAGTTATCTTCTTCGCCACGCTTCCTGTCCTCGTCCAGAGTTATGAAAATAATGACTTAATTGACTTTGACACTGAGCCTGAGCTGCCCGTCATGTCTACCGAGCCTGAACCTTGTCACTTCATGTCTGCCGAGCCTGCGCATCACGTCAGTCCTGCCGAGCCAGAGACAAGTTCACGTCATGGCCGCCGAGCCAGAGACTGTTCACATCATGCCCGCCGAGCCCGAGCTGCACGTCAGTCCTGCCGAGCCTGAGATTCACGTCAATCCTGCCGAGCTTGAATCTTCTGTTCCAGAGTCTGACTCCAAATTCCCACCCAGCCTCCCTCTCCCACCTCCTTCCATCTGCCACCTCTCTACTCTTCCGCCACTGCCTGTCAGCCCCTCAGCTCCTCTTCCAACCACCTTCTGCGAGGAGGAGTCGCTGTGGGTCTGCTGGCCTGCAGCTCCGGCCTGGTTGGTGGATCCCCGGTCTCCACCTCCAACCTCCGCAACCAGGACTCTACCTCGGCCCTTCGTCCCATCTGCTCCACCTTGGCTCTTACCTCCCTCAGCTCCACCGAAGGCCCTTCAGTTCCCTCGTCCCCCCGGATCCACTTTGGTCATTCGTCGACCTTCCCTCACCTCAGGACTTCTCTCCTCTGGCTACGTCTCGTCCCTTCGTCCCCCCAGCTCTGTTGGACTCCTCACTCCCTTCAGTTCCCCTTTGGTCCTCACTCCCTCTGTCTTCACCGTGTCCTTCTATGTCCCCGCCTGCACTTCAGTCACCAGAGCCTGCAGCGTCGCCATGTCCCGCCGGACCCTCAGCATCGTCTAGGCTCATCGGCTCTCCGGCTCCACCCTGGTCTCCTCTCCCACCTGCTTCGCCCCCATCAGTCGGCACCCTGGAGTCACCAGCCTTGTCTCCTCCATGGCTCCTCCCTCCATCATCTCCGCCTTGGTCGCCTGCACCATCTGCTCCGCCCCCATCAGTCTGCCCCCTGGAGTCATCAGCCCCGCCTCCTCCATGGCTCCTCCCTCCGTCGTCTCCGCCTTGGCCGCCTGCACCGTCTGCTCCGCCCTCGTCCCTCCTGCCTTCTGTCTGCCTTTCACCTGCTCTTCGTCCTCTTCCTGAACCCCCTCCATCCGCAGCTGGTCTTCCTTCGGCGTGAGGACGCACCTACTGGGAGGGGGGAGTAATGTCACAGTTGTGTTCCGTTTATTTTTCATTGGACTTGTCTACCTGTCGTCATGTCACGTGTCATCATCATTATTAGTTCATCTGTCTCACCTGTCACCTCGTTAGTCTTGTCAGCTGTGTCTCGTTTCCCTGATCTGTTTCCCCGATCTGTTTGTGTGTGTGTGTGTGTGTGTTATACCTGCTGCCCGTCATCCCTGTACCTGTGTAAGTAATATTAGTAAATGTTTATATTGGAGCTTTTTGCCTCTTCGCCTTTCTTCTACCTACACCACACCGTGACAGTTATTATATAAAATCTTATTGTAAAGTGTTACCATAAATTAATTTAGTTAATTTACAAAGACTGCATTAAGAGGTGAACTATAGAGTGTAAATCAACATTCCTTTCCTTTACATTAATGCAATGTGTACTTTATAATATTATACACAACACTGGAATATTTGAATCACAGTATTCATCAAACAATAGTTCAGCTGGGAAACCTTTGTTTCCTACATAGCTGTTCTTGTGTTCTGTTTCTACAAGTAAACTAAAACTAATAAATAATTTAAACTCAAATCAATATTTCACGTCCATTTTATTTTTATTTATAATTTTTTTTGCTAAGCAGTCATGTAATAAGTAATATAATGTATCGTGATCACACTGTCGGGTTTATTCTGCCATAGTGACCGGCTAGCTGTACGTTTTCTTGACACTATTCATAATTTCATAATGTTTATGGATCATCTCCTGGTCTCTGCAGGCTGTTGTTGTGATGAGGAACCTGCCGTCAGCGGAGTGACCCTACCCTAACCCTGCTGTCAGCGGAGTGACCCTACCGTAACCAAGCTGTCAGCGGAGTAACCCTAACCCTATCCCTGCCCCCAGCGGAGTGACCCAAACCCTAACACTGCCGCCAGCAGAGTGACCCTAACCCTGCCGCCAGCGGAATGATCCTAACCCAGCCGTCAGCGGACTGACCCAAACCCTAACACTGCCCCCAGCGGAGTGACCCTAACCCTGCCGCCAGCGGAGTGACCCTAACCCTTACCCTGCCCCCAGCGGAGTGACCCAAACCCTGCCGTCAGCGGAGTGACCCTAACCCTGCCGCCAGTGGAATGATCCTAACCCTGCCGCCAGTGGAATGATCCTAACCCTGCCGCCAGCGGAATGATCCTAACCCTGCCGCCAGTGGAATGATCCTAACCCTGCCGCCAGTGGAATGATCCTAACCCTGCCGCCAGCGGAGTGACCCTAACCCTGCCGTCAGCGGAGTGACCCTAACCCTGCCGTCAGCGGAGTGACCCTAACCCTGCCGTCAGCGGAGTGACCCTAACCCTGCCGTCAGCGGAGTGACCCTAACCCTGCCGCCAGTGGAATGATCCTAACCCAGCCGTCAGCGGAGTGACCCAAACCCTAACACTGCCCCCAGCGGAGTGACCCTAACCCTGCCGCCAGCGGAGTGATCCTAACCCAGCCGTCAGCGGAGTGACCCTAACCCTAACCCTGCCCCCAGCTGAGTGACCCAAACCCTGCCGCCAGCGGAGTGACCCTAACCCTAACCCTAACTTTGCCCCCAGCGGAGTGACCCAAACCCTGCCGCCAGCGGAGTGACCCTAACCCTAACCCTGCCGCCAGCGGAGTGACCCTAACCCTAACACTGCCCCCAGCGGAGTGACCCAAACCCTGCCGCCAGCGGAGTGACCCTAACCCTAACCCTGCCCCCAGCGGAGTGACCCTAACCCTGCCGCCAGCGGAGTGACCCTAACCCTAACCCTGCCCCCAGCGGAGTGACCCAAACCCTGCAGCCAGCGGAGTGACCCAAACCCTAACACTGCCGCCAGCGGAGTGACCCTAACCCTGCCGTCAGCGGAGTGACCCTAACCCTAACACTGCCCCCAGCGGAGTGACCCTAACCCTGCCCCCAGCGGAGTGACCCAAACCCTGCAGCCAGCGGAGTGACCCAAACCCTAACACTGCCGCCAGCGGAGTGACCCTAACCCAGCCATCAGCTGAGTGACCCTAACCCTGCCGTCAGCGGAGTGACCCAAACCCTAACACTGCTGTCAGCGGAGTGACCCTAACCCTAACAAACCCAGATCCTCTGAACATCCACCTAATGTACGCCAAGGAGGAGCCAGGATACTTCACTGATAATCAACTGTGATCTTTGAAATTACTAGAGTATGGGCATTAGAATGTAGTATCTCTTTTTAGTGTTACTAATACCAGTGTTTTGTACTGAGACCTACAATATAAAACAGCCATCAGTGTTCTTGTTTTCCAGTACTAATATCTAAACATTCTTAAATCAAAATACATTTATTCAAGATTTGATACATTTTTCATAAAACAAGACTTAATATCTGAAGTTATTTTGCTTATCTTGATTAAAAATAATATAAATCTATTTTTTGCAGTGTAAAAAAAGGAAAGCACTTTGCTATTTTTCAATTCACATTAACTGAAAACACACTGAATCTTGGCTATTTACTGTGAAGACATTTATCACTCGCTAAACTTATTACACTTATTATGCAGCTTAAGGCAACTGCTCATATACAGTATCATATACATCTTTATATTGGCAGATATACATTTACATTTATTCATTTAGCCGACACTTTTATCCAAAGCGACTTACAATTGCTATATATGTCAGAGGTCGCACGCCTCTGGAGCAACTAGGGGTTACGTGTCTTGCTCAGGGACACACTGGTGTCTCATTAACATTTCCTAAACGTCTGACACACATTGCAAATACATATTCCAAATGAAAACACCAATCTTATACAGTGATTATGTATATTAAAATGTAACATCAGTCTGTGTGATCTGATCACAAGTGCTAAATACAGATAATTATATTTGTCCATATTAGTCCATATTAATTCAATTTAAATATAGCGCTTTTCACAATACATTTAGTTTCAAAGCAGCTTTACAGAAAATGCTTGTTTCAATCAGGAAGAGTTCTGTTATCAGTCACAGATGAGTGTGTGATATAGTATAGTGATACACAAATATGATATAATAACATGTTATGTTTGTTAATGTCATGTATTCTGTTAAACAGTACAACAATAAAAACTTGTACTTGTAACGTCCATATATGAATCTGATATTCATTATATTCAGGTCCTGCTTTCCCTTAAACATCTCAAACTCAACATCATCATCATATATATCACTGGTGATCGCATCACAGCACTATATTCAGTCCCAGAAATATTAGACTTTAGTACACTTGCTTTTATACTCCTTGTACACATGCATTTTTAAGGTGATTTTTATTTTCCCGTTTGTCATTTTGTATTCAATTGTGAACTTGATTAAATAATCAGGCATGGCAATATATTCGCAACATCTGGATTCAAGAGACACAAACACTACAATATTACAATGTCGTTCCCACTAAGGCTGTTTCCCCAACTATGATCCTAGATAGAGGAAAGACAAGTTTAAAGGCCGCCTGAAATCAAGATGTACGTTTTTTAGCTTTTAGTATGAATATGTCGGCCTTAAGGTTATGAATAAGCTTCCAAAACAATGACAACATTCGCATTAATGAAATAAGCATTTAAAAGTTACAGTCGGTCACTTCCGCTTAAATGGATCAGGGATTTTTATGACATCACCGCTTCTCATCACATCTTCTGTCCAATCACATGCTCTCTAGAATCTGAAGCTCCGCCTCCTCGTTTACTCACCCTGGTGGTGTTCCCTTCTCTCTTTTTCACCCGAAGAATTGTTCACCCTAAACCATATAATGGAAGTGAATAGCGACTGGCATCAAGCTTTAAAAAAGATGCAAAAGTATCACAGAACGATCCGATGCGATTACACGCGATGCGATGCATATATTCCACATGTTCTGGGGGTTTATGATTGGTTTGGTGAAAAACAAACCAAAATTTAATGTAAGTTAAATAGTGCTGTCAAATTGATTAATCACATCTAATATAAATGTTTGTGTTTAATATTTGTGTGTGTGTGCATATCTATCTATCTATCTATCTATCTATCTATCTATCTATATACTCGCTTAATAATGTTGGGTTAAAAATAGTGACCCAATAGCTATGTGTGGTTGAATGGTTGAATGAAAAAATAACCCGTTTTTATATATATATATATATATATATATATATATATATATATATATATATATATATATAATCTTTACACACACACAAACACACACATATAAGAGATTGTATATAAGATATATAAATCTTTCTATATAAGATTTTATTTGTCTATTTATTTTTCAGAAGTGTGCTGCGGCGGGTTGTGCTCATTACAAACTAATTTTCAAATGCAACGTTTGAGTTTTGACGCGTCCGGCGTTCCGTACAGCGTGGCACGGTTGGGTTAAAGCCCCGCATTAAAGCTCTAGACATGAACACAAGCATAACCTGCAGAGGGCGGGGCCTGTCACTAAGCCTGCTTCTGATAGGTCAAATACAACGCGGAAGTGTCTTCTGATTGGTCACCACCTTTTTTCTAACGATCACCTCAGTCGTTTGCGGTTTTAATTTTAATAATCTTCATCAGCAGCTATTCTATTTTACGTCCATACACTCATTTATTAAGTTCCTCTCATTACTAGTCATCAAATGCTGTTCCCTGTAAACCCAGCTCCGCCTACGCGAGGTCCGCATGTCGATGCGCACGTCCTCTCTGCGCATGCGCGCGTGTCGCTTCCGGTTCCTTCTCTTCCGCGCGTGCGATCTGAGACCGGTCGCACATGTCCATCTGCGCCTCAACCCCAGAGATGCCGTCGCAGACCCTGCCCGAAGCCGAGCCCTGCACACAGATGGAGGAGGTGGAGAACGGCCTGCTGCTGCTCAAGGTCAGTTACACACGGCTAATCGGTCAGTTACACACGGCTAATCTCGCACTCGAGCGCTTCCACGGAGAGACTCGCGCGGATGCTGATGACGCAAGCAAACGCGCGTTCACATCGCATCATGCCAACACTGACAAACTCCCGTTAGATCATAGCAGTCCTGACTCCTGTTACTGTTACTGATACTGTTTCTGCAGTGTTAAAGTGTGTTATTCCGAACCCAGACAGTGTACATGTGGGCTCACGTGTGTTAAAATACTGTGACGTGCGTCAGTGATCACGTGTGTGAGCATCGTGAACGTGAATAACACGTGTGTGTTGTTTTGCTAGTGAGCCGACATGCTAACGACACATCTGGCGATTACAAAATAATGCATTAGATCTACATTAAAATATGCTTCAAATCGTTCATAAAGAGATGGTTAAATAATTCCACGTGAATGGAGAGGTTTAATCCAAGTCTTAATTTAGGCTTTTATTCGCATATAAACATTGAACAGTGAATGTACATGAAAGAAGCACATCAAACACAGTACAGTGAGGATCACACCTGAGAGCCAATGAGGTTCGGTCTCGCGCATCACGTGACGCGCACAGAATTTTACTCGTCTACTGGACCAATAGAAACTCCTATATGTAAATGTTTTTCTGAAAACAAAGGTAGAAATTATTTATTTTAAATATGTACAACAAATATTTTCTCACTAAAGTAAAGTAAGTGTCTTTCAAAATAATAAACACATTTTACCCTGTTAAATATTTTATGATTAAACATAAAATTAATATTGACACAAGATGCTCATTTTGCCAAGTTCACACAGAAACTGTTTATTATTTATTTTGATCATGATTCTATACTGAACAACTATGGAAAAATATTGACACATTTATTAAAGATGATATCCAGCAAGATATCCATAACTTTTAAATACATTATTTTTGGATGCTTTGATTTTGACCCCACTAAAACAAAGCTGGCTTTGTGATTAATTTATTTTCTTGGCAAATTGTAAATACATAAATGTAAATTAACCAACAACAAACCAGTTTTTATTTTTGTTTTTTTAAAGAATTTAAAATGTACTGTAACAATATTTCATCCTCAGTAAATAAGAAAGCAAGTAAAACAACCTAAATTTGTAATTACTTTAATTTGTACACTAACTGATGTATAAAATAACGGTCATTTTTTCTATCTTCTATTTTTCCTTGGTTATTTTTCTTTTTTTAACAAATCAATGTTAACTTTTTCTTTTCTTCTCCTGTATGTTCAGATGATATATATTGTGTGTATTGTATACAAAGTTGCATATCATTAATGTCATCTCTGTACAGTGTGCAAGCATAATGTATGAAAGGAAAAAAATGATTAAAAAAGGTGTTTAGATGAGTCGTCATCATAAAGACATTCATGCGGGAGGAACCTCAGATGCACTGCTTATCACTTTCTTTCATTTTTCTCCAGAAAAAGAAAAAGAAGATGAAAGAAGCGGTGTGTGAGGCAGAAGAGTGTGAATCACCGGCTCCTAAAAAGAGGAAGTCTGAGAAGAGTCTCGAGG